TTTATGTCTATAACAAGAATTTGCTTCAAGTTGGACCTCAAGATAAAGGTGAAACTGCAGAATAATAACATAAAACAACTACTGCATGAGTATTTATATGTAAAAAGAACATTTACAAACTTTTATGGTTCAAAATTACACAGACTAAAGGCATTTAGTAAAATTAGTAATACTGTATCGACTTTACAAAGSGGAAAAAACTGAAGCAAATTAAACAAACYATTAAGCAGTTGTTAATTCTTGTCAGCTTCAACAAATTAAAATTCTTTTCAGMGCTGTGGGATAACTCTTCATTGGAAAAAAGTAAAATAAGGTTGGAAAACATCCATTTAGTAAGACTGTTTTCAGGCCCTTTAAACCTGGAGGCTCTTGGTTTCTCTCCTGGTGAGCCACTTGGAAAGTCTAGCTTTGGAAAAAAAAGTATATTTTGTTACAATTTTTAAGGTAAAACCACTCACCCATATCCCCACAGGTCTTTTTAAATGTTTCAAATTGCTACYATCAGCCAGTGGTCTTAACTCACATAGTCAGATGTTTGTTTTTCCTGCTCGTCACATAAAAAGCCCGCTCAGAAAACACCAGCGYTCTCCCAACACATGCCTTTCATGAGCTTGTTGTCCAGCTCACCGGCAGCTGGGAACTAGAACGCAGTAAAGCTGTGTTTCATCACAAGCTGTGCTCAGGACACATCCCCATCTTTCCAGGCTCACAAACGATTTGCTCTCACCTTGTAGACACCTGTCTTCATGTGGCATTTTGATGACAAGAAGTCCCAGGGTGCTTTGTCTTCAAGAGTGGGACACGATGACGGCTGCTCCCCAAAGCAGAAACTTCATCAGCCTCACCAACAAAAGGAAGGAGTACTCCGAACGAAGGATACTTGGGTAACATTCATTATTTTATCATTAGCTAGGACTGACTGTATYTTTGAGCTGTTACAGAATACTGATGATCTTGTAATACTCGCTGTCCCAGTTATTCTATGCAGGAAATGTATGACGTAGTGGCCAACGTAGATGAGTACAAGCTCTTTGTGCCTTGGTGTACGAAGTCCCAGACCGTCATGAAGAGAGCAGGTCACTCCAAAGCCCAGCTTGAAGTGGGGTTCCCTCCTGTGATTGAGAGATACACGTCAATGATCACAAGTGTTCGGCCTCATCTAGTCAAAGTAAGTACCTTTCATTTAACACATGAATGGCAGTTTGTTTATTTTGTTTATTAATGTGATGACAGGCATATTTGGATACCTAATTTGGTTACTGTAAAAAATAGACAACTTCCATTCCTTTGTATTAGATGTTTCTAACCACAGAAGGTCTTTCTCTGTCTGGCTTTAGGCAGTGTGTACGGATGGAAAACTCTTCAATCATTTGGAAACAATATGGCGCTTTAGTCCTGGCATTCCTGGTTACCCTCGGACCTGCACAGTAGACTTTTCTGTAAGTTTCCTAAAGCTTGCCTCATGATTTATGCTTTTCAAAGTTAGAGAAGAAGATGGATGCTTTTAATAAATATGCAAACTAAAGTTAAATTTGCTACAGGCCCTTTCACACTATTATGTTTTAGACAACTTGTCCTAATTTTGTTGAGCACTAATGATGTTTATACTAAAGATGGGATTAAAAAAATSTACTGGAAGCCTCTTTCAGATTAGGCATGGAAATTATGACGGTTTGATAACCTTGGGCAAAAATATCATGGTTTTGTGGTACGACGGTATTAAGTGCTCGACACACGGGAGGCGATGTCGCTCACTCTCCATTCATTTCCTTTGGTAGTTGTGCGGTGAGGCGACAATCGCTTGCCCTCCTCCAGCTAAGCGACCGGCGAAAATAGTGCATGTGAAATTTCGCTCTCGTACACGTACACGTGCACACGCGAGCTTG